TCAGCAAGTGCCAGCGAAGCTTCAACGCCGAAATACAAAAGGCAGCAGCAACAGCAGCAACAATAACAATAAGTGCACTAACAATGATTTTCCAACACAAAAAAAAGGCACAAAAAATACTACAGAACCAACTACAGGTGCAGTGAAAAATCCAGATTGAATGGGTGGGTAAGAAGGGAGCTTGGAGGCACACACCGGATTGTTCCCACAGTGTTCTCCTAGACAGACGCCTTCGTCACCACGTCAACCTCTAATAGACTTTTCACGCTTCGGTTTTAAATTGAGGTGCTGATTTTTACAGCCGATATATACCTTTATACATATATTATTCGTATGTAAATGCAGACGCATAAATATACCAACTGTTTGTGGTGCCAAGACGTGGCCGTGTTTATGTAAATAGATCGTTTGAAACCCACAAAGAACTAGATCTGATCTCTGACAAAGAGTTGTATTTATGCTGCATGCAAATCTTGTTTTGTTTCACACGTTTAACAGGTTCATTTGCTGCTGTTGTACAGATATCTTATAATGCCATTAGAAAGCTTCTTTCTTACTCAGAATGTTCCATTTAATGCAGACTCTTTTATAATGCTTTATCAGTAGTTGCATTTAATTTGTTTTCCCTTTTAGTTTTGACTTTTTTAAAAGTTCTAGAAGCAATTGCAAAAGTTTTTCCCTCTAAGCGCGTTTTCAGACCTTTTTAAGCCCGTTGAAAGTTTTCAGATATTTTCGTTATTAATTGCAACAAAAATAGCGACCGCAGTGGGCTGCCAAAAAGTTGAAATAGTTGCAGATGCGATGCCTGGCCAGATATCCAGGACACAAGAACAATCTCAGGGATCTGTTTTTGTTTGGCAGGCAGAAAGGCAGGACTTCTGCCAACAGCTGTTGGTATTTTATAGAACTCGTAGTAATGTATGTTTTGCTCGAGGAAAACTAATAAAACAAATCGCATGTTTAGCCAAGAGTAGTGGATTTCTGGTCATTGAACCGGCTGCAGGCAGGCATCCCTGTGGCAACCCTCGATGATGGCTGACCCAAAGGGGGTCGGTCGGATCAACCCCACATCCGATTGGAAGTCCAAGTGCAGTGCACATCTTATTCCGCTCGAGGGGTTGGGAATTTAGAGAGGAGGAAGTGGGCGTCACTCGGACATGGCCATGCAATTTGTATCCTTATCAGGACGAGCCGCATTGATTGGACCGCGCGCCGCCGTTCGTCCTGTATTTATGCTCGTCGGAGTTTCCGACAGGCGCTGGGTTTTATGGACCCAAGAACCCAACCCCCGTCTGGCACTTGACCAGAGCCGGGGAGCTGGAGTCAGAGCCAAATAAACAATGATGACAGGGATAAGGAGGAACAAAGGAGCCGGCCGGCCGGCCTGCGGAGCTCATGTTCAAGTTATGGGACGTGAGAAATCCTCAAATAATGGGAAACGAGCATTTTCATTTGCAACGTAGCCAGGAGCAGAAGAAATAATTGTAATCCTAAAAGTAATCAACGGGGGGAAAAGAGGATTAAATAAATTACGTGGCAAGCACTACTATAATTAACACAGTCGGTCTTTATTTCCGAGCTTTTATTACATAAACAAAATAGTAATTCCCCTAAGAACCAATTCGTTGACTTGATTACAAACAATAAAGTTTCAATACCATTACAAATCCATAAATCATTTTAATATCTCCCAATAAAACCACCTTTAAATCTTTGCATTTAATTTGTTGATTAACTTTAACGCTTAAAGAAATCATAATTTTCAAAGATGGGCTTTTAACTCAAAACCGTTTAATAGCATTTTATTAAAAATTCATCAGTTATGCCATTATTTCCGAGCGATTCTTATTTATTGCTTCTTTAAAGGCACAATAAATTTAAGTGTCTTCCCAAATGGACAAATTTACCTCAAAAGCCACCGATTCATGATAATAGAATTAGGGTTTTTTAACGGACAAACTTCCCGGCTCCAACTGGGCGTTTCCAATTAAGTGGCAGTCGATGAAAAATATAAAAAGACCTCTGAATTTAATACAACCTCGACCCGGGCTAGTCGAAAATATTTGACAAATGGTATTTATAGTTTTATTTGAGCTTAAGCCGCCGCCCCATTAGCTCGCATAAATCTCTGTCACATTTTGAAAAGCCTGCTTTTCACGATCTCAGAGAAATGCGAAACAATTTCATTTTCATTTGCGAAATTAAATGGCTCTTTTAAAGTCAAATGAAGGGTTCCCCAAACCATAATGGCAGGGGAAAATAAATACAAAATACAAAGCACACAAAAAATAAAAGCAAAAACGTTTTGACTTGTGCCCAAGAGCTGCGGTCGTCGTCGTTGAGTTGAGTTTGGCTGGTGGAAAGGTCAAGGATTATTATACTTCATCATAACTCTATTAAGCCGCAAGTCCGCAGCGGTTGGCAATCTCCGGCTTACGGGCTGCCTGACTGCGCATTTGTTTGTATATTGTTATTATCTTTTTATGCGGCACACATGAGAGCAGCAGCAGCAGCAGCGGCAGCAGCAACTGTTGCAGCACGGCAGCAACATCAGTGGCACGGCAGCAGCAACCTCCCCACATGAGGCCCACTTCATCCAACATCGCGGTGATAGTTTTGTCTCTCGGCCTTACTTTTGTGGGAGTTTTGTTGTTTAGTTTTCTATTACACGAAATTAAGTAAAAGTCCCAAAACGAAAGCCGCCACCCGAAACAAAAATATAAAAATAAAACGAAATAAAAGCCAAGAGACATGAAACGACATCAAGAGCAGCCAAAAAAAGCGAAACTCTGAAATTCGAATTCCGCCCGAGGAGAAAATGACTTTCATACGCGCGACAGAGGTCGGCGTGAGCATTTGATTTGATTATTAAAAGTTTTGCATTACCCTTACTTCCGAGAAACGAAACCCAGGCAAACACAAGCCCAAACTCGACCAGAAACACCTCGAGGCGCAGGTCCAAAACCAGATCCCTTTGATCGATGGAAAAGCCTCTATGCGCGGACTATAAGTAGGCTGTTGATGATTGTCTCTGGCATTTTGTCTCGTGTCTTGCAATGATGCAGCACTATAATTATGATTCGGCCACGGGGATGAGTTACACATAGAGAAATTCTATGCAATAGGGAAGTACTTTGCACAAAATTACGTGGGAGTACTCTGTTATATTTGATATCATAAAGTTAAGTTAAGGTGTTTAATATTTGATTTATTTTGTGTGTTTGGAAAAAGGGGTTTATTTATCACTACAAAGTAAGCAAATAGTTTGATTAATAATATAGATAGATGTTTATTTTATAAATCATTTAAATAAGCGTCTTAAAAACCTAACTCGCAAATGTAAGCAGTCTATTAGTGTGATCAAATCTTAATTTAGTGGCCTAATCTACCCTTTTTCAGAGTTAAATTACCAAATTGTTGTTTTCATGCAATATATTATAAGAGGTTAGCTATTTTTTCTCTTATTTATCCATTCAATTATATTTTTTTTTTATTCACATTGATGAATTCTAGATTCAATATATTTCCTTGTCATTTAATAAATTTTAATCTCCAGAGATTCCGAAAAAGATCTCTTCTTAAGGTTCAATTCTATTTATATTTTTCCCTGGCTTATATTTGGGTTTCAAAATTTTCTCCAAGTGTACGATGAGCGCCATCTGGCGGCGCGTGACAGCCGAAGCAAAAGCCAAAGTTAGAGCCATTGCTAAGACCCAGGCTAAAGCCAAGTTAAAGCCCAACGCTGACGGGCAGGCAATGACGAGTTAATTTCTTCGCCTTCTCATGCATTAATTGAGCAGCCGCAGGCGGAAGGTGGGCCTGGATGGGCCTCGGCATGGGGATAAATGCATAGATGAAGGTGGAGATGGAGATGCCAGTGGAGATGGCGATGGCGATGGAGAGAGTCATCCAACTTATATAAGAGACATACCAGAGACTCGACCCGCTCCGCTCCAGTCCGGGCCGGGCGACATTAAACGCCAAGAGGAGTGACCACAAGAAAATGGCAATAGCAATAGCCATAGCCCCGTCGGGATTCCCTGGCATCGACAAAAAGGTCAGATCGCTCAAACTGGATGATGTTCATTAGCGACACAGAAAGCCACAAAGCGTGAAACTCCGGCGGCTACATCGATCTCTTGGCTCTTGGAGTTTCCATTTCGATGCCATTCCACCCAGCATTTCCTTCTCAGTCCCAGTCCCAGCTCCATCTCGATCCCTTGGCTTGGCTCCATTGTCCACGGCTTTTGGCTGTGACTCTCGACCCTTTTTGTCCGTGTTTACATCAAAAACGTGCCTCAAGTGTTCCTGTCACAGCACAAATTGGACATTTATTTGCTGCCCCAGTCACCACTTTTCTTTCTTTCCCTCCTTTTCTTTGTCATTTCCATGGAAACCCCTTGGCCAGAACGTGTTAAGGATTTGGTTTCGATACGGTTTTGGGTAGCCAAAAAAATAAATTCCCAGAGTCAGCAATGATACAGCGGCTTTTTTTTGTTATGTGGCGCCACCAAATGCCTCGTTTTACGTATTTTCGGGGGCGTGGCAGCGATCCGCTTATAGCTAATTGATGGTTGAAGCCGCCGCCGCCGCAGCAGCAGCAACCGGGCTGCACCGCCCACAGATGGATAGCTCTTTAAGCCAGACAGCAGCACACCAATTATGCCACGCGGAGCACTGCAATTTGTCAATTAGCTGATGAGATGCAGACTCCCACCGGAGTTGGCTGCCAAACACCCCTTTTGACCTGTTCCGCAGCGTTTCCTTGAAGAAAGGGATGCTTTATGTTGGTGAACTTGCATTGCAGCGCGTTTAAAAAAGACTTGTTTTTGATTTCGAAAGTCCCACATAACGAGGATACTGCAGAAGGGAAATTAATTTTGCTTTTCACTTGCTAATTGGCGGAGTGTAAAAGATGTATCATAAAAATTTAATGTTTGTAACTTAAAAAAACATATTTTTTCTGAATATTAATTAATTTTTTTTATTTTCGTTTGCAGAACTTCCTGGCCGCCAACGCACAATGCTGGTGGAATGGACCATTGACGGCAGCCACGCGAGCTCTGAAGTATGCCGGACACGTGGCGCCTGGAATGCTCCTGGTCACCGCTGAACCCTGTGCCCTGGAGGTCCTCCGTGGAGCCTTCGCCCGGAGTGTCCTGAAGCCGCCGGCCACCTATGTGATCAGCTCAGTGGGTGAGTTTCCCTCCTAGCATATAAAGCTGGCTTAGAGATTAGTTTCGGATAGTTTGGGTAGAAAAAATGATTAAAATTAGGAAATTTCCTGGAAATTAGGGGATTGCCATGAATAGTCCTAAGGGGAGCTGTGAAAGACAAAGTGAGTTGGCCAGGTGGCGAAATCTTTTCTGGGATGAACCTCCTCATAAGATGGCCAAGATGTCACAAAAGAAGCCCATTCAAGGGCAGCAGGTCGTCAGGGAGAAGGAGCTGCAGACGGAGTCTTCTCGAAACGCGGACTTCGAGCGCTGGAAGCAGCTCCATCAGCTGCGGTTTTTGATGTACGAAGAGCAGCGGAAGTACAACCTACGCTGTGGATCCTCCGGTGGAGCCTCCATCTGGAAGATCCTTTCAATGGCCCAAAAGGAGCTGGAGGATAAACTGCAACTGGACAAGATTCGGGGTAACTGCCAAAGGTTTCCCTCACCCATGAGCCTGATGGTGGAGCAACGGGAGCATGGTGGTGGCGAGAAGTCTGTACTAGAACCTCTGAGGTCCTTCCTGTGTGGCTGCCCAGAAACAGACAGCGATGAGGAATGCGATCCGAGGGAAAGTTCCACGAATGTGATCTCCAAGGCAAAGGGAAATCGCAGCAACCGGAAATCTTACAAACTCTGCGCTAAGGAGTCGCAAATTATTGGCTATTGTCCTCTGTGCGGCAAAAGGCACCTTCGTTTGCCACCGCCCTTCTGACCAGGCTGAAATAAATCAAAAGGTCTAGGCCAACTTGAAACCCCTCTCTGACTTATTTCAATGAACTGCATTGCACAGAAATCGAATAAATCATTTTTCCACTTTGGAAAATTCATCAACTTGTAAAATACATGAGGAAATACATATTTCTTGGACTAAATTTGTTAATTTTCCTTAGGTTTTTTTGAGTTAATATGTAGTTTTAGTTTAACGATAAAAAAAAATGAAGACTATCAATGGTTATGATAAACTTAGACTATTCCTACTACTTACTTTAATCAGTAATAACCTGGTTACGGTTTTTTTTCCTGTGTAATCGCAGCGACATGCACTTCATCAAATATTGATGTGTCTGGCCTCGGCTTTTTGCTTTTTGGTCTCTGGTCTGCTCCTCGGTGCCTCGTTAGCTGTCAATTAAGTGGACACCTGTGCAGTTAATGCGATGCTGCCGCTGCCGCTGCCGATGCCCATTTCCCATTTTCCACCTTTCCCCCACCCGGTTTTTCACACTTCCATCGAAGGCCGAAAAGTCCATTGGCAACTCTGTGAATTGATAAATGACCGGCCAGCCGGAGATCGTTGGAGTTTGTGGAAACTCTGTGGCCTTTGGCGAACTTTCTTGGGGAAATTAATAAGCCGCGATTTGTGGCCGCAGCCCGATGCCATATATTTTTATTTCGCGGCCTGCATGTCTGTCGGTGTATCTGCCTGTGAAATTCAATTGAGGAAATATCGCTGTCCAAACAAAGAGCCTGCACTCAAAATGCACACAGAAGTGCTGTCTGCCGCCGGAGTTGTGGCAAGATGGTGTGGCAGGAGGGCAGGCTGGCAGAATGGACTCAGGCTCCATGTTTGCTAATTAACAACTGCAATGGCGTAGAACCCATTAGCTGTTAATTACCATAAACATGACAATGCCATGGGCCAACAAGGAAGGAATCTGGACAAAGTGCCATAATAGATACCCTTCAGATTCAAAACATAACATTTAAATTGGTTTAATAAAACTGAAATAGAGATTTGTAAAACAATTTAATAGCGGCTATATTTGGATATTAGTGGGTATTATTATTCCAACTCTTTCATTACTTTACTACTTTCTTTTTTATTGTAGCCATAACTAAGGCATCAATATAATAGTATTTTCAAATAAAACATTACTTGTAATAACAAACAACAAATACAGTTTCGAGTTAAGCCTTAATCATACACAGCCCCCCCATAAATAACGCCATCAGTTTGAGTCATTTTCATTTAAACGCACTTCATCTGTTTTTTATTTATTAATTATTTCGCGACAGAGAGCGCCAATGGGCAATGCCTCACAATTAACCAGACCTCAAATGGCTGGTTGTCGTTTTAAATAATAATATTTTCACAGACTGGCAGCATGGGAATTGCCAGCCAATATGCATTAAATTCCAGCCTAGGCATAAATTAATGCTGCCTGTTTGCTCGCCACTTAAAAGTTATTTTAAAGCCTTTCAAAGTTTAACAAACTGTAAATGAAAAAGTTTTGACAAGAAAACCATTTGAAAGGCCATGTGACATTTATGATTGAATTTTAGAGAGTTTCCTTTTGGTGAGTAACTTACTTCTTGTTAAGTTAGGAAAAGATTTATGGCTCCGTTGCAAATTGTTGGCCAAATTAAATCGCACTTAGCCGTAGCCGTGTAGCCGTGGCCGAGGGGGAAATAAAGGCAACGATTGAAATGGCAGCAGTAACAATAACGATAACAAATAACACATTGCATGCAAAACAATCAATCAACGGCAATTTCTCGCTCAATTAGACAACAAACATGCCAAATAAATGCAAAAGAAACGAAGAAACTAAAAGACTGAACGACTGAAAAGCAAATTAAATTCAGTTTCGTGTTAAAGAGCCAACTGAGAGTGCAGTTTTTTTTCTTCTTTCTTGTAGAGTAGAGTCGAGGGTGGGTGGCATCGGGAAGTCGGGTGGAAAATCGAGGGGAAAATGCCGTCGCTTGCCGCTTGGCAATTTGACAGCGGAATATCTGTGGAAGCGCCGGAGAGGAAAAACTCCCGAGTAGACAAATGGCAACTGCAAAATGCAAAATGCAAAATAGCTGGAAAGCGGGAAAATTATGCAGTTCCCGCCGAGAGAGAGACGGGCAGATGGAGAGCTGTCGGTAACTATGATGGCGAATAAAAAAATAAAGAGCCGCAAATCAATTTCATCACGATTTCTCGTCGCCGCATCTTGCTGAAAGTGAAATGGCCATGACAGTGGAGGAGCCTCCTCCATCTCCGTCTCCATACCGATCGCCATCGATGGCCGTCCGTCAGATAATTGTAACTTAATATTCGAGCCATTAACAAATCGCAAATCGGTAGAAATCAGCCAAGTCAACAGCAGCAGCAGCAGCAACAGGCGGTCAGGCATATTGCGAAAATCGAATGTCAGTCAAATGTTGCCATTGCAACCGCATTCAGACGCCAGACATCGGCAACGTGGGATCGCTTTGTTTACACGAAGAAAAATAGTCATTTATTTAATGCGAAATTAATATCAAAATTTAATTTTTTTGGGATAACTATCTAGACCTTATTAAATATGTATGAATTTGTACACTACTAACTCAAAACACGTCAGAAAAAATACCCTGATTAGTTTTCTGACTTGTTTTGAGTTAATTCCCTTGAAGACCGAATTACTAAAAATATCGGCAAGGTATCGCGATAGTTAGTCAGTTTGTATGGGAACAGATGTTTTAAGTTTAAAATAACGGCTAATTATCGCTATATATCGCCGATATTTTCAGTAATTCAGTCGTTCAGGAAATAGCCAGGATGTATTTTTGACTTTTTTGAATTATGTATGCTATACACTCACACTATGTTTGCTTTATACAGACTGTTGGTCACACTTTTCCACTTTCTTATGAAAAGCGTCTGTCGAAATTAAACAAAATCACACTTTTTCTTTTGTAATTAGAAAAGATTAACTTATTTACCCCAGAATCCAATTAATTATTTGCTTTGTCAAATTCTGTAGTCAAAGCATTCACACTAACTTTGATGCATAAGAGCAATCGGTCACACTTTTTTTTGTTGTATCCGTCAGAATTACCTTACCAATACGTTAATAAAATGTGATTTAATTATAATTTCGGAATTAATAAAAAGATCTAAGGAATTTTTATTATATTAAAAAAAATACAAATATTTCTGTAATATATAAGCCAAATGATGGCTCCTCTGAGCGCATAACTTTTTCATAAAATCACCAAGTAACATGATAATACGGAACTACAATTTAAATATACTCCATTTTTTTCACTGCTCAGTAATTCATCACTTCACCGTTAAGCTCTTGGCCAATTTCTTGAAAGGTTAACAAACCCTTTCCGATTTGGGGGGGAGAAATTCTCCAAAGCGTAACCAAGTTTGCCAAAAACAAACAGGGGAAAAAAAGTGCGAGACAAGAGTCATTGTCATTGGGAGTTGTCTTTGCAAGTTCATCATCATCATGGTCGCTTGAGCACCGCCCTCTCTGGAGCCCTCAACACCCCTTCGAAGAGCACATTACCCCGGCGATTATTGTAATTTTATTGTTCTGCTTCTTCTACGGATCTTTACCATTTTATTTTTGCTTTTTTGTTCAACTTTTTCCCGTGATTCTTCTGCCCACGCTGATTACCATGGCCCCCTTTTTCCACTCGCCCCGCAACCCTTTTGGGTTCGGTTAATGAGGTCAACCCATTTGATTTCCAGCTCTTGGTTACGCTTGGCGGCTTTTCCCCGCTCATTTGACGGGAAAGTGTTCTGTGGAAAATCTTACAGTTCCATTGTCTTTCAGCCCCAAACCACGCACCAAAAATGGCTGGCAATTTAGCCAAATGCGACACGATTCTATGGCTGCGCTGACATTATCCCATCATCTGACTCCCGATCGGAGGTTGCACAACAGGCCAAAGCGAAACTCTTGGCAGGCTCCCAGGTTCAGGTCCACTAACCCCAAACTCATTGACCTTTAACACGGCAGCCAAAGCAACAGAAACAGCGACAGCTTAAAAAAAAAAAAAGAAGCAAAAACCACAGGAACGGCCAAAAGTGTCGCCAACAATTTTTTGTCTTTGCTCGGTCTGGGTATTACTTCTTTTTTTAATGTTGTATACCCTTTAAGGAGGTATTTATAATATTGTACTGAAGGTTAACATATTTATTGGATCCTTTATTAATAGTTAGGTATGTCTATCTACATTAGATACCTAATTTGTTCACTATAGTATTATCTATACTCAGTTTTTCAAATTAAACGATGAATAGGATTATGAAATGAAATCAATGACAAGGTATTCTTGGCTTCGGTGCTATTTACCCTCTTTCTAGTCTTTCCTATAATTTGTTGTTGTTTATTTTACTGTTGGCCACGTCGTGTTGCTCCTTATTTGCCAGGCTATAAAGCCGGTGGCCCAATGTCCGACTGTGTGGCATTTTGTTGGCGGTGTTGCAACCACGTAAATGTCAATTTGCATTTCGTGAGGCGTTGCATAAACAGCAGCTCCCGCCGATCCCGATTCCTTCCCCCCCTTGTTTTCAATTTGTTACTGATCTGAAATATTTTTATTAACAGACGGAAACAATTAGCGTCGCCTCAGCGAACGCAACAAGCGCCAGGCCACAAGTCGCATTCGCAGACGAAGTCGATGTGGAAGCCATAGCTCTCCTTCTGTTTTTCGCGATCTGTGGACAGGCGTATCTGTTTCCTTCTGCGTGGCCTTTCCCCCCCACAGTCGAGCACACCACACAGCACCCACCACCCACCTGAAGGCCCCACAGAAACGAGAAGAAAAACCAAAAATGGGAAATTGAAAACGCGCAAAAAACGTTTCAAACACAAAATCGTGATTGCCTTCGTTTCGGCCGCCAGACATTTTTTCTTTATTTTTTTTGTGTGCTCTCTTAAACTGCAGTGCTCCACATGCTGCAGAAATGGGGATTTTTTGGATGTGGATGAGGTGGTGGTGGGTCAACCACTTGGGGTGGCAGCAGGATTGGGAAAGAGCTACTAAAATATATTAGAAATTGACTAAAGTTACGACGAACTCTTTATATTTTAACAACTATTTTGTAACTATTTATGGCACATTTATGCAGATTTCTTCTTTAAACTGAATACATCTTCCTATAATAGTATTTATTAAAAACTCCAATGATTAATATCTCCTTGCCGGACTCGACTTTCCTAATTGTAAAATCTTAATAAAATGCTTTTACTGATTTACCGATTTTTAACCTCGTGTCCGACTGACTGTCCTGGTCTGTTGATTGATTAATTGCCCGGCAGAAAACGAAAGACACAGTCTCTTGTCCCAGATGACAAACTCCTGCCGGCGGCTGGAAAATCGTTTTTCCCTCGGCTTCATCTGCATTTTTCCTGCGGTCGGGTCGGTTGGCTGCAGCAAAAAGCCGAAGCTAAAACGAGACTCTTGCAAATGATAATAAATATGAAAGAGACGTGAAAACGATTGCTGCGATTTTCCCACCAACGCTTTTGAGATGGTGTCTCAAAGGCAGGCGCCCGCCTCCCCTGATTTTCCCCGCCGATTTCCAAAGCCCCTTATCCCCCAAGCCTTTCCGCCTCCTGGAACCGCCTCCTTTTTGCCGCAGCTTCATCCGTCTTAAGTAGAGTGAAAGTGTTGCGTTTTGGTTTCAAATTGTGGTCGCAGTTGTTGTTTTTGACTAAGCTTTACTTTATGTTATTGTTGCTGTACTATTTTGTGTTTTTTGTAGTTTTTTGTATAGTTTTTTTGTGCATTTTTTTAGCCTGCGGACACATATCCTTGTGTTCAATCAAACCAAGGCGCCGTCAACGCGACGTGGTCTCAGTTTTTGGGATCCCGAAACGACTCGGTTCGGTTCGGTTAGTGGAGTCAAGTGTTTTGTAGCTTGAAGGTTGTTGTTTTCCACAGCCTCCCACTGCAGGAACCCCCACCCCATTGGTCCCTCCCCCAACCCCGATGGGGCTCAAACATGCGGCAAACATTTTTAGCGCTTGTAGTTGCCATGAATTTTTATGCAAATGAAAAATGTTTCTTGCGATTTCCATTTATTTTTTTTCTTGTTGCTCAGCTGCTTTGTTTTTTTTTTTATTTTGCAGCCATTACTGTGATGCAATTGCCGCGAGTAACAATAATCTTGATGTATGATTTTTTTCTTTCATTCGCTGCGCTGTCTCTTATTATTAGAAAAAAAAAGAAGTAAGAAAACGTTAAAGGAGGAAATCTTGTGCGCGCCTATCGTGTTGTTGGCACATTTTCGCTTTTCGGTGGAGATTTTGTTTTCTGTTTGATCTCATAACCGCCAGCGATGCCACAGCAGCATCATAAACTTTTAACGCTGTCCATTTCGAAATAATCAATAATTTTTGGCTATCGATGGCAATTTATTACGGAGCTTTGTTTTCGTTTTGTTTTCACTGCCCCTGGGGGCCAGCAGCGGCGTCCGAAAGAGAGGAGCAAATAAATTAACACTTCCTTAAACGATAAACACCGAGAGGAGCAGCCCCTCGTTTCCCGTTGCTCCTCCTCCTCCCTGGCCAAAAACTAGATGCCAACGGGCACAGAGAAATGCATTTGGAAATCAAAATGAAATGCCAATTGATAATGATTTCCAGTGTCTCCGTTTCTCTGGTTATATGCGGGGGCGTCACGAGTTCGCCTCTCGGTTCGTTTATTAATTTTAATTGCAACGGGGTGGCAACGCCCGCAGGCGATAATCCTGCCCACGGATAAGCGCAACAAATTGCAAACAGCACTCCCCCAGAGCTAGGAGGATGGAGGCTGGAGTAGGATGTGGCCGCCAACCACCTAGCGTCATCATCCATTCAAGCACCGCAACCGGTGGTGGTGGTGGAAAGTGGGTTAGGTGATCCGGAGAGCCTTGATCTTGGGTCTCTTGAGTAAGTCTATAAATATGATAGCACTTTTTTTTAAAGTTAGCTTTGGGATATAACATTTTTAGGAGACTAATTTTAAGTTAATTACTCATCAAATCAATGCATATAATATTTTCAACATTAAATTTAAGAGTAAAAAAGAAATTATAATTTTTTGGGAGCTTAAAACTAACAAACCATACTTTTTGGAAAGTTATAAAAATAGCTACTTAATATTAAAGCTGTATTTTTTATTGTTATTGTTGTTTAAGTTAATTTGCATGGAAAACTTCTCAGATATATTCTGCAAATTTTCATATAGCTCTCCTAAATTTAATGACGAATTTCTCTTAAGCTTTTCATATGTTAAATTTTATGTGTTCATGTGGAAGATATTGCATATGAACTCGACTGACTTACAGCCGTGACCTTCATGGACAGATGCCTGAACTAGTGCCAAATGGCAGCTCAGCTCGCAATCCTCGGCAGCCTTCAATAAGACCAATGGGCATACCAATTTCCAATGACTTGCGGCATCTGGTGGCCGGGCAAACCGCAAGATTTCAGCTTTTGGCCATATATTTGTGTTTGCCAGCCATCTTTCATATTTGTTTATCTTGCACCAATTTGGCTACTGCACTCGGCGATTTTATTTATGATCAGGGCGTTGCTGCCAAACGGCGAATGGCAAATTGCGGAGTGGCGAAATCAAATGGAAATGGCAACGGAAAATGGCAGTGGAAAATGTATAATAAAGAGGCCAGAGTGTGCCAGATGATAAGCGAAGGCAAATAAATCGCTGACGCTAACTGGAGGCTAAGGGAGCGCCGCCAACTGGCTGGCAAACCACGAATGAACGAAGGCTGGTGAAGGAGATGGAGATTGAGTGCAGCAGCCCCCGAGTGACGCCACACGAGTGAAGCCCCAAGATTAATCGCTGTGCAAATTTGCGATGCGATGTGAAAGTGCGAGAGAGAGGAAAAGGCGGATTTCTGGCGACTCTTTTTGCCAAACTGCAAACTCGAAGGCTGAAACTGAAAAGCTGTAAACTGCAAGCTCAAAACTACCAACTGCTAGCTGCGCGTTGGATATTTTGCCGCTAATTGTCCTTGACGACGGAGCATCCCACATGGCGTTTTGTCTTTTAGTCTTTCGGCTGCTGGCGCAAATTGCTGCCGGGTATAGATGCACCCAGAAAAAATCATACAAAATATTGCGGTTTTATAGGAAACTTAGAAATGTGACTGTGATATACCACAGATCCTTGGAAATCAGTCAGTTTTATTTAATTCCCTTGTTAACTTTGTTTAAATTATTATTTTGTGAAATTATCATTATGGGATGGTGTAATATATTGCTAACTTCTAGTCCTCGGCTGGATTTGATCCGCTTTAATTGCCTTATGACTATTAAGCCAGTTTACACACTGATCGATTTGTAAAGATTTCGATTATGTCTAATGATCGTACTTTAAGATGTTTATTAAGACTTGTGAAAGTAGTAAGTCTTCAAGTTCTGAAAGAGCTGCAAACTGGTCATATTCTATATAAAAGTTGGGATCATAGCTTTTGTCTTTTCCTGATTATATCTTGTCTGTGCTATTTTCTCTCTGTGCCTATCCCGAGCCGCAGGCTGCAACGGAAAGAGAAAACTTGAAAAATTGATTATGCAACTGCCGCAAGGACGTTTGGGGCCAAGAGGCTTGCCTGTGACTGTGCCTTAGCCCGTGCCCGTGCCTGTGCCTGCATCTCTTGGCCCGGCCGAAACGGAGGTCGTCACACACTTGGTCTGATTTTGCAGTCATCGCACCTCCATCCTCCCCGCTTATGTCATTGTCCCCCGTGCCTCTCCTCGGCTCCCCCCTGTGTGTGTGTTTATTATTGCAATTTTGAGGCGTTGCTTGTCGCTGGTTTGCTGCCACTTTTTTAGAGGTTAAGTTGCAAGTAGGAAGCGTTTGTGGAGGCGCACTTAATTTACTGGCACGATGCGGCACCGCCAGGTAAAATAATAAAACCAGCCAGCAGCAGCAGCAACAGCAAGGTGTGCATCAACTTTTCTCTTTGTTTTGATTTCGCTGCCTGATGGGAGTGCGCGCTTTAATTAAGTATCCGCCGTGTGAACGATGCGACTGCCATATTAGGCGATGCTGGCAGATGGTGCTGCAATCTGCAATTACATGGCCAGAAATAAGAAACAAATCATTAGTTTTCAGTTCAGGGTTTGTTTTACATTCAAATGAATGGGATAAGATAACTTTATTTATTTGTTTGTTTAGTTTTTAATTTAATTTTTACATCCTATAGAGTTCTATAAGATAATGTATACGAAAATTCCAACAAAAAATCAATTTATCAGAGAGAAACTACTAAATTAGACAGAAAAGTAACAAGGGTTATGCCAATTTAGTGTAGAATTTCTCTCCGTGTCCCAGGGAATCGATTGCTAGCCCAACTCATGCATATTCCAGCAGACTCCGCATGATGACCTCCCCAGCGGCAGAGAGGTCAAAACTAAAAAGCCAAACTCAATTCAGGAGGTTTAATTACCCCGTCAGTCGGACGTGGCCAAAATGCCAAGCGAGCCAAGGCGAGTCTCCCAGGTGGCCACCCAAAATGCCAGCTAAAATGAAAAATGAAAAGCCGAGTGAGTTCGCTGGAAAAAATGCGAGCAAGTTAGGCAGACCAAATGGGGCACACTCGTCCGTCCAGTGATTAGCCATATAAGCCAGGCCTAAGCGGGCCCAGTTGTACACACATGTCGTTGTTTGTGTAGTTGTCTCACCTGTGCTCCCCGTCTCCTTGAACCCCTTTTTTGCAGGTGACATTGACGATTGCATTGTGACGCCAACGGTCCAGGGGCAGTTCACCCCGCTGCCTGAGGCTCTGTGTGACGTGATCATGGACCTCACCGCCGAGGGTCAGTCGGCCACCATTGAGCATGTGCGCGGCAAGCTGGGCGCCCGCTTTCCGCACATGACCACGCCAGCCACTGAAGTTATCTACGACACCCTCGCCCAGCTGATGCAGGAGCAGAAGATCTACCAGACCTCCAAGGGATACTTTATCTTCACGCCAGAGTGAGTATTGTTTTTTGGATAATAATTCAATCACTTACTCCCAATCTCCTCACCTAGACGACGACGTAGTCGATCGAGGCCACGCAGCAATCACCACCAGCTGAACGGTAGCCTGGCCTATGGCCAGTTGGCGGAGGAGGAGCAGCAGCACAGCGAGGACGTGGTGCCACAGGAGGCCCGCACTATGCTCATGTCCAATTCCGAGGCGCTGCACTCGCTCTACGGCGAGATCTCGACGGAGCGGGACGGCGACCTCACCCACCAGTGCATACAAACGAACCTGGCGGATGTGATCTGCGGCGGTGAGTGCTTCTTTGTCTATCTATAAACACTGATCCATAAATAACCGACAATAAATGACATGCAGGCAATCCCAATGACAAGATCATCTATCCAAGGGCAGCGAAGCGACGCAGTGCCTCGTTTCCCACGCCGCGCAGCTTAGAGCGGCGGCACAGTTTGCGGCTCTTTGGCTCGTCGAAGCGCCTGCAACGCTGCGCCTCCACTCGCAGTTTGTCCAAGACCTACGCCCAGACGCTCAACACCACGGACAGCAGCAGTTCGGAATACCAAAGCACAGATTCGTCATCACCCAGTAAGTCGAGACTTTGTAGTTTTCTGGTCTCCAATTACTTAACTTTTGCTTCAACAGAAAAAGGATCTTTGCTCTCACGCCTGTTCCGACGCAGCGGTCGAGCCAAGCAGCGCCAGATTGAGACCTACTCGGCCCAGTTCCCGCCAGCGGAATGGTTCAACACCAGAGCCGTTCACCTGCACAGCGTGGGCACACAGACGGCGGAGCACGTAAGCATTATATTCATAGGATGCCTTTTACAGAGCCTTATCAATCCTGGTTTCATCTACCTTCACCAGGACATGCCCGTGGCCCATACGCTGTCCAACTCGACGTTCTACGACGGCTCCGAGCTGAGCCAGCGCTCGTCCACACTGCCCCGTCGCCATCGCCGCCACATGTCCAGCGAGTCGACGTTTCTGATTTCCTCCAGGGACTGTTCGCCCATCCGCCGCCGCTCACCGGTCTACTGCAGCAGCTCGCTACCTCGCTCCACGCAGTCGATTCCGGCCACGACGGCGGCCAAAGCGAATCACTCGTCTCGCCTCAGCCATGGCCACGGATCGGTGACGCCCACGCCGCCAAAGACGGCCCAAAAGTCGGTGATTGGGAAGCACATTTTCGAGAGCTCACCGTCGCGATCCGCCACGCTGAAAGCGACTGCGGCCAAGCGCCAAACGGACGCGCTGATCATCAACAGCTGTCTGGACAACAAGGCCACCTACCGGAGCCTGCAGAGCAGCGGTCCCTCCAGCTTGGAGTCCTGCAGGACCACCTCGATGCTTGCCAGCGGCCCCTCGAGCATCGACAGCGGCAAAGTGTCCTTCAGCCAGAAGACCAGCGGCCACTCTAGTCTGGACTCGCAGTGCTCCACCAACACGGCGGTGGTGGCCCCCTCAACGAGTAGTGGTGTTGGCAGCTCCCGCTCGATCCTCCTCCTGAATGGTTCTCCACGTGGAACGCCACGGCATCAGGCAATGCGGGCACGCGTTGCAGAGGCACAGGCCCAAAGACAAAGGGCCAGCACACCCAGTCGCATTCTGGAGGAGATGAGCTATCCCACTGGCGGCAACAGCGTGGGAGTGCCCACCTCCAGCAGCAACAACTCGATCACCCTGCAGGTGACCACCTCGAATGGCAACCAGAGCATCCCCAGCACCAAGATCTTTGTGCAGAACTCGCCAGTTCGGAGCGTGATCACGCTGGAGAATGGCAAGATGCTGGAGAACTCCAATGTGTTCATCATCAACAACGAGACGATGACGAACGAGCGGGGCGAGATCATCAAGAAGACTCTCTCCAAACAGACTTCGTCTGCGGCGACTCCAGCGGCGGCCACTTCCACGCCCGTCAAGCCCCAGGACACGCTTTCGGAGACAATTCTCAGCGAAACGGAGGCCAACTCCGAGACCTGTGACTCCATCTCTTTTATCAGCGAAAGCTCGCCGGAGAACACGTGTCCCGTGGATGTGGAGACGCCGATTTACGATGGGGGAAAGTACGCCAAGAACACTAATAACGATGCCACCATGAACAACAGCCGGAAGCTGTGCCTCCAGCTGGCCAATGGCATTGCCTACAAGAACAACGTGCTGAAGAACGAGTCCCAGCCGAACTCCCCGAGTGCGGATCAACCGTTGAAGCTGGCGGCGCTGGCCAAACAGGATTTTGAGATCGCTGGATCGGTGGGCAATCTCCACTTTTACGAGAAGAACTCCAAGGACCTGGCTGCATCGCAAAGCAACAACAAGATGATGAACAGCAGCACCGACCTCAAGAATCTCTGCTACGAGAACCTTTGCTCCATGAACGGGGAGGAACTGGCGCTGGCGCACCTGCTCCACAAGTCACGGAGCAACCCCCTGGGCAGTGAGCCCAATCTAGCCCTAAAGGACTTGGCCACTGACAAGTCCATAGACAAGGAGGCCATCGATCGGCGCCTTAGCTTGACCAAGGAGTCCTTGGAGCAGGGCATGGGCAATGTACTGTCCAACGGCGGCGAGGAGCTGTACAACTTTCCCAGTCTGACCGACTTGTCCTTCAATTTCACGTCCCTGGCGGCCAGGAAGATCCTGCAGGGTGTGAGCCTCAACAGCATCGACACTTTGGTGGAGCTCAACATGGCAGCAGCGGCGGCGGCGGCAGCAGCAGCGGCGGCCAACAGTGCCCAGGAGAAGCAGCAAAATAACCAGCCGGCGGCGCCAACAGCCTCCGTTTGCACCGACTTTGGCATGGTCTAAAGGCAACAACGCCTCCGCCCCACAGGGATCCGAGCACTGTGGGCAACGGAGCAGCGCCAGCCTCTTAGTTTAATCGAACGAAATCGTAGGGTCTAGGATAGGAGAGGGATGCCCGCTCTCTCTCCGGCATTTGGCAAGCAAGCTTCTTGTGTAATTTATTGCGATTTGATTTCCCCACTTGGACGATAGCAGCAATTTGTATGTATTTGAGTTAGGGTTTTTTTTTTGTATCGGAAGCAACTTTTATTTACAGTGCCAAAATACGTTTAGTTTAATTTTAATGCTTATTACATCTTACTTCATATTTCGTATGCCAGTTCGTATTTTGCCTTGCAGCCCCCCACCAGAGAGACACCGCCAAGCGGGAGTCTGGGGAAAGCAAGCCGATCTATGTTAAAGTCCACCACAAATACCCCCTTACTTTTGTGTGTACATTATTCAAAATAATTGTTTATACTAACTAACCACGCCCAAAATGCAATCCTATCTAATGCAGAGACACGACATGTACTACGAACATAGAATTTAGCACTTTGAACAGAACTACAATAATTTTGTACAAGGCCTTAATTAGTAAAGTCAGCAATAATACAAAATAAGTTGAATTACTAATAAAAACAATATAAACGATATAAACAAGAAATCATGTTTTTGTTTTGGGGATCGGAAAGATGTGGAAATTTGAGCTAAAAATAACAGTAGAACAGCAAAGCAGAAGTTGTGTTTTTAAAAGTTTATTCAAATATTTATCATATAGCCAGCCAGAGAGGAAACTGATTCGGAACTCAAAACATTAAGAATCCATCCAAAAATAAAATATAACAAGAGAGGACTCCACTTACATATAAGGCTGAGGACAGGTTAATTCGGTGCAAAACAAAATTCTAGAATAATAAAAAAAGCTTATATCTCAGAGTAAATAAAAATGCGTTTGAAAAACAACGAAGCTATAATTTTATTTCTATTAATTTCCCGATCGTTCCTATGGCAGCTATATCATATAGTCGTCCGATTTTCATAAAATTTTTACCAAAATTCTGAAATAATATATGAAATGGCCATATCTCAAAAATTATGCAAAAATGTTTAAAAACAGCAAAGTTATAATTATTTTTCTAAAAATTTATCGAACATTTGTAAGGCAGCTATATGATATAGTCGTCCGATCCGGCCCGTTCCGACATATATAGCAGTGAGAGTATATAGAAGACTATATGCAAAGTTTCATTCAGATAGCTGAATGTATATAATACCCTTGCAGGGTATTATAATTTCAGTCAGAAGTTTGCAACGCAGTGAAGGAGACCTTTCCCACCCTATAAAGTATATATATTCTTGATCAGCATCAACAGCCGAGTCGATCTAGTCATGTCCGTCATCAAGTTCATCAAGTTCATTGTAATTGTTGATTGATGATCACCTGATCGGCAGGGGTGTGGCTGGAGGAGCGAGCAGCTGGGATGACAGATCTCAACCCAATGGCAGTGGAGGACGGTGATCGGATCTTGGCTCCGGGCTAGTTAAAACCCTGCAGCAGGCGTAAATAATTAAAATATTTATAAATGCAATTTAAATATGTAAATATAATTGATGGAACACACAAATATGAATCAATAAAAGATGGTGAAATCAATGTGCAATTTTTTTGTGAAGGCGGCATTTATTTGGGATCGTTTGGGGAAAAATCGAATTATTTTGAAAGCAAAATCTATATTTTTAAATTTGTTTTCTGAATTTTAAACATTTTTTTTTCGGATGTTTTACAATTCTTCTAAATTTTTAAAAAATTGTTCTAAATTTTTAAAATTGTTCTGAATTTAAAATTTTTTTTTCTGAATTTTTAACATTTTTTAGATTTTTTATATTTATTTAAAATTTTTTTTTAGAATTAAACAAATTTTTTTGAAAATATTTTAACTGCCAAATTTGAATTTGAATTTAACGACGATCAGTTTCAGTGTACCCAGGTGCAGTTGTAAAATAACACCTAAATTTGGATTCAAAAGGTTTGAGTCTCCGCTTACTTGCGCCGGTTATTAAATGGTTCGAAACTTGGACTTTTTATAACAGTTTATACCAGTTTTCAGTTGCTTGCTGCTGATTTCTGTTCGCCTGTTACCCCAGTTTGGAAAGCGGCCAAATTGAATGAAAAATTTTGCTCACTTGCATCAGTGATGCTCATCTGCATCAGTGATGCTCTATTGGGACAAAGTGCATCTCTCTAACTGCCAGTGATGCTCAACTAGCTATTTTGCATTACTGGGACAAAATGGCAACTCTCTAACTGCCAGTGATGCTCATCCAGCTATTTTGCCGTATTGGAACAAAATGGCATCTCACTAACTGCCAGTGATGATCATCTAGCTATTTTACATTATTGGGACAAAATGGCATCTTACTAACTGCACTAACCATACAACATATAGACTGGTCATTTCATACAACGAAAATGGACACAAAAATTTCTTAGCGAACGGTCCCATATTAACTGTTTGCTGTTAGCGACAGACCGTCTGTTAGATTTTAGCTGTTAGCGACCCGTCCCATGTTAGCTGTCAGCTGTTAGCGTCCGGCCTTTACATGTATGCGTGTTCATGCATTCACGTACACGGGTGCATGTGTGCGATCATTTCATTTCGGGCCAGCAAGAATACCATATTTGGTCTTTTGCTACTTTTCGCGCTAGGTACCCTAACAATATGGGCATATTCGCTATAGGGTTAATGATACAAATAAGAATGTTATATGTTATAATATATTTCTTAATATTTCAGCATTCATAGCATATTTGTTTACAATTTAAATCAGTGGCGAAATCGAATCAGCTGTTATTGTTGTTGCGAGCGGATGGTACCTGCATACCCTACCGACGATCGCTCTTAGGGGAGCGGGCAGATACAAAAAAAGCTGCTTGGCTTTGTTTTGTTTACATTTTTAGGACACTTGTTTCCGGACACTTGTTATGAATTTTTATTTATATTTCTTATTTTTTTATTGTTGTTATTTTTATTTTTTTCTATTCTAGCAAACAGTTAACATGGGACCGTTCGCTAAGAAATTTTTGTGTCCATTTTCGTTGTATGAAATGACCAGTCTATATGTTGTATGGTTAGTGCTAACTGCCAGTGAGCTCATCTAGCTATTTTGAATTTTTTGCATTTATTTCCCACTAACTGTCAGTGATGCTCATCTAGCTATTTTGCATTATATAGGCAAAATGGCATCTCACTAACTGCCTGTGATGCTGATCTAGCAATTTTGCAATATTTGATGTTTTTTCCATTTTCCACCGCAAGAATGCCCTTCTATTGAGCCTGTTTAAATTATCCCAAACCAAATTAACAAAAAAAAAACATCCTTCTCATAAGTCAAAAATAACAAATTTTTAAAGGTTTTTTATTTACTTCAGCTTTAAATAAATAAAAGAAGAAAAGGTGAGGTATGTGGAAATATCGGAGGTCGTTTCCAGTGGTTTCGGCTCGGTCTTGGTGGCACCCTCGTCGTGCTGTCCCAGCACCTGGTCCGCTTCTGCTCTTCCTCGTCCTGATCCTCCTTGCCAACGCTCTCTGTCTCCTGGCAGCTTCCTGCAGCTATATTATATAGTCGTCGATTTTCATAAAATTTTTATCGAAATTCTGAAATATTTATTTATTTATTTATCTAAAGCTAACAAATAGTATTAAACTAAGAGCTAACTATGGGTAAAGAGCCATAGCATCTAAGGCCTTTGGCTCGCGGTTTGTGTTGGTTTAGTTGTATTTACATTAATTACATTGATACAATGAATAGATATTTACAAAAGAATAACATAAACATACATACATAGGTGGAATCATACATAATTTATATTTACAGCGGCTTCATATTTTGTAGGTAATTTTACAGTTGTCTAGGAACTTGAGGATGTTTTTGGAGTTTTTATTTGAGGCCATATCTGAAAAATGGTGCTAAAATGTTATAAATGTTATAATTTTTTTTTCTAAAAATATATCAAACATTTGTATGGCAGCTATATGATATAGTCGTCCGATCCGGCCCGTTCCGACATATATAGCAGTGAGATCATATAGAAGACTATATGCAAAGTTTCATTCAGATAGCTTCAAAACTCAGGGACTAGTTTGCGTAGAAACAGACAGACGGACATGGCTAGACCGACTCGGCTGTTGGTGCTGGTCAAGAATATATATACTTTATAGGGTCGGAAACGTCTCCTTCACTGCATTGCAAACTTCTGACTGAAATTATAATATCCTGCAAGGGTATACAAATAATTAAGAATATGTATTAAATTAGATTTTTTGTTGTTTTTTTTATAAATGTCCCACAATCTGGGTAAAGTAGCCCCACAATTCCCAACCAAATAAGAATATCCGATCAACAGATCATTGGTATTATTTGTTTTCATTTATTGAAATTTTTAAGTCTTTTGCTTTTTCATATACATATTGTTTGTTTTCATATACTTTGCGTTTTTGTTATACTCGTATTTAATATTTTAGGTTTTGGGTAGTTTTGGCTCTATAAATATGAATAATTATAGCTAATTGCTTTTAAATTAATATTCCTCAGTGTGTAGGTAAAGAAAACATATAATTTACATAGAGCGCACTTAGGGATGTATGCATGTGCATATGCTAATCGAACTACACCCATAAATCGCTTTCGTTATCGCTAGAGAGGATTAGATAAAAAAGTGGGGTAAATTGGTGTTCAAAGTGTTCTTTTTTGGAGAGGGAATATATTATGCTTTAGAGAATAGTTATCGTAGATCATCGCGTGGGTATATACAATTAGTTTTAGAAACTTATTTTAGTGTGTAAGATCCAAATGTTTGATTTATTTACAATAATTAATAATAAGCAGAGAACGAAGGAACATTTAAGAATTCACTAATTTACTCGCAAGCTGTACTGTGTGTGTGTGTGTGTTGGGTGTTAAAGAGAAAATGGCGTTCGGTTCGTTTCGATTCGGATTATACAGATATTCCACTCTATATAGGCTATATAGACTTTATATTTATCGTTTTCGCTCAATAACTAAAATGTACAATAGATGACTTAGACCTCCGTCGACCGTCCGTTCTCATCCGTGCGCGAGGCCTTCCGTTCTCGACCCGGTATGCGTCCAGTTAGGGGCTGGGACTGCGCTTGCGCCTGGGCTTGGGCTTGGGCCTGAGCTTGAGCTTGAGCCTGTGCCTGGGCCTGCATTTGTGCTTGCTGCTGGAGCATTTGCTGCTGCTGCAGCATGTAGGCGGCCTGCGACTGCTGCACAAAGTTGGCATGCGTATAGGCCTGCATGCCGGGCGCTGCATACACATTGCTGGGCGTGGCAATGGCCGCCGTGGGCGGCATGTTGAAGCGCATCTTGGCAGCCGCCGCTGCATTCGCTGCGGCAGCAATTGCGGCGGCGTTCTCCCGCGAGGCGCTCGAGTTGGTGGTGGACTGGAACGAGATGCTCATGCCGCTGTCCAGGGAGCCAACGCTGCCGCGTCGCTGCGGTTTCTCATTGCCAACTGAAAGAATATAATATCATAAATAAATGTGTGCCCAGAATTGATAGAGAGCACGTTTCTCGTCACAAAAATAAAAACGTTCTTTTAAATAAAAACAAAGCTATTCTATTTAATGCTGTTAAATTTTGTTTCAGTATAAAGCTACGAGTATAACAGTTTTAGTTGGATACATTCGCTCTAGAAATCATATTAGGTGAACTCACACTGCTCGTGCATATCCAGGAGACTGTTGCTGAGCGCGCTGCGCTTCAGCTGCTGCGAGGAATCGGCCGAGTTGGGTGCTTGCTCGCCGGCAGCCTGGGATCCCGCCTGGTAGGGACAGGGACAGACCTCCACGTCGGCCACGCCACTGTCGCGATTCTCCGCATTGCCCGGCGCCCGATTGCGCGCCGACTTCTGACGCTCCAGCTCCGCCTCGATGCGCAGCGACTCCATCTCGTCCATCTCGCTGATGGACTCCTTGAGATCCTCGGCAAACTTGCAGCGATCGTGCTCGTTGCGGGCGTTGAAGGTGATCAGGATTTTGCCGTCCACCTTCTGCGACAGCTGGATGCAGAACGGATAGTTGGGCATGTCCAGCAGGGTGACAACGGTGCCGCACAGCGGGAAGCTGTTGCGGAACGTGTACGTCACCGAGGTCTTCTTTTTGCTAAAGATTTTGGTGATGACCAGCAGATCGTTGAACAGGAACACCTCGCGCTGATGCACGCCCGGCCGTTCCTTCTTGTTGACGTCGGGGATCTCGTACAGCCGGCAGTAGCAGACGAGGCGGCGATGGGGCAGGGCCAGATTCGGCTTCTTGCCGACAATGGTCGCCTGGACCTTCATCACCTGGGTGACGTGGTCGCTGCCCGGCTTGAATTCGTCGGATTTGACGCGCTCGTAAATGCCACTCAGCATGTCCTTGTCAATGTCATGGCAGTCGTCGATGCCGCGCAGGTTCTTAATAAAGTCCTCAACGCGCATGCGTCGCTCCGGCTTCAGATTGGGCGTATGCAGATCCGTGTTCAGCATGATGATGGCAAAGGCCAGGACAAAGATCTGAGGGGGAAAGCAATGGGATTAGTCTCAGAACCTATTTTGATTCTATGAAAATGTGAAAACTCACCGTATCGGATGATCTCAACCGCCCGACAATGTCTGCGTTGCACTCACAGTAGCGCTGCGAGAAGATCTCCATGAGGCGCTCGATCTTCTGCGCCTCGCCGGGCATCCGGAAGTAGGCCTGGAACTTTCGCAGTGCCACATCCACCTGGCGGCCGGACAGGTCCAGCTCCATGGCGAAGCAGCTGAGCACAGCCATGTTGAACTGATTCTGCAGATTGCCCAAATACTCGCCGATCATCTGCCGGGACAGCCCCTTGCGGGTTATGAGGAAACGGGCGACACCCTGCGGGGTGTTCTCCAGGAATCCCCGCCGGATCAGATAGGTGATGCCCTTCTCGGGCTTCTTGTTGAACAGATTGAGGCCGACGCGATACTGTCGCTTGCGTATCGTCTCCGACATCTTGTAGTTCTGCGCCACGCCAGCGGCCGCCGCTGCTGCCTGCAACTGCTGCTGCTCGTGCTGTTGCTGCTCATGCTGCTCGTACTGGGCGGCACTCGTGTGCGAGGAGATGGCATGGTCGTCCGTTGGGGGCAGGGCACCCACCGCAGTGGCTGCTGCCACGGCTGCCTGCATCTGGGCAGCGTAGACACCGGCACCGCCGGCAACCACCGTCACTCCAGCTGCTGCCGCTGCCGAGTCTGCAGAGTGCGTGGAGAACTGCTGGGAGCTGTTCAACGCCGTTCCGCGCTTCCAGGTGTGCGGCGAGTTGCTGCGATCCGAGCCCAGATCGCTGTTGAGGTTGCGTTCCGCTGAGGTCACACTCGAATCCGATCCGGAGCTCTGCACGGACGTGAGGCTGCCGTTCTCTGCCGTCTTGCACAGGCCATTTGTTCGCAGCAGCGACGGCGGCGGTGGCGTCTGGCGCTGCAGCAGAAGCAGCTGGCTCTGCTGCTGGGCCGTTATCGAGCTGGTCCGCTTGGGCACCTCTGGGGGAACCTTCTTGCTGCTGCCGCTGCCACTACCACCGCTACCGCTGCCGGTGCTGCCGCTGCAACTGGGCGTGGGCGTGGTGCTGCCGCCCTTGGGCCGCATATAGATCTGGGCCGCCGAGTAGTAGGGCGTGTGCGGGGAGTGGCCGCTGGTGTTCACCCACGAGGCGTTCAGCGAGGTGTCCGCCGAGCTGGTGGCGTAGCTCAGGTCGTGCGGCGAGCCATGGTAACTGGTGTAGTACGCGGCCGGCGTGGGCAGAGCCTGGGCGTTGTAGTAATGCGGCTCGGCCGCGTGCAGCAGATTTACGTGAGGATGGGAGGCCAGAGCGGCGGATGAGGTGACTGTAGAGTTGGCTATGGAGGCGGGTGAGGCTCCTGGAACAGAGGATTTAAGTTAGGTAAGGTCTTGGGTGTATTTCTAAATTTTGGAAGTACCGAAAATAAAGCATTTTCAATTGATAGCTAAAGACCTTCTTTAAATATATTCTTAGAATTTATTAACTTTTATCAAACTTCTTTTTTTTAATTTAAAAATATTCAACACAAAGAAGAACCATTAGCTATTACTGACACAGATTAATAACAGCTTTAAAACAAAATTTTAAGACGCAAAAATATTATTTATGACTGCTTCGACCATTTAGACGAGTTGAAAATGATGATAACCTTTCGTTTGATTTTGAGTTTTGAAGGCCAAACAAATATTTGTGTGAAAATCGAAAGACTTTATGCTTAATTGTTATCTTTGCATTTTTTACGCTCAGTTCTCAAAAACTCTTATTTGCTGTGCGATAAGAAATATTTACAAAATAAACATATTTCGAGGAAAAAGAATGTTTACCCGCCAGCTGAAGGCTCTAAAATATTTAAGAACCTTAAAGTTTGAAAAAACTTCTAAAGAGAAGCCTTAATAATTAAATTAAAATAATTATACAAATCTCACTTTCTTACTAAGTTTATCTTTTATATATTTACTAATGCAATTTTCGGTACGTACAATGACACTGTAAATAATATTCCAGGTGGCAAATATAAACTTGGAGCTTATCGCTCTCCACTCACCTGACTGACTACGCGGTATGGGACTGCAGTCCAGCTGACGTCGCTCCCGCATGGATAGCGATCGGGTGGGCGGGGTCCTTGATAAGCCCGGCGATGCTGCTCCCGGCGGACCCGCCATGATGGTGACACGTGGCTGCTGCTGTTGCTGAAGCTGCTGCTGTTGCTGCTGCTGCTGGTCGAGCTGAGATTCCGTGGCACTTCCATATGCCGATGAGGAGGAGGCTCCACCCTCCTCCGCCAGGCCCAAGCTGCTGGCCGTAACCACCATTCGGCGGCTGAGCCGCTTCTCCGCCTTGGCCATGGCCGTAATGGAGGCAAACTTCTTCACCATCATGTAGTGACGGAAGGCGCGTTGAATGGTCACCGCCGCGTTGCGGGCTCGCACTCCGCCGTACTTGCGCTCCAGCAGCTCGATCTGCTTCTCGAGCAGATCTTGGGAGAGTTCGTAGCTGTGGGACAGACAGATGATCGACGTTCGATAAGTATTCGTATCATGGGAATTGGAATATCCGTCCGGTGGCCCTGTGCTCTTGTGGGTTTGAGAATTTGCAAATGACTGGCACTGGCGGAGGCCCCATACCCCGACCCAAGCCCAGACCCACGAAACCGATAAGATAGCGCCACGAGTATCTTGGGAACCAGTCCCGCCGCCTCTCTGGGCTATCGACCTGATTACAATTCGCTTCTCGAGGGGAGGCAATAATATTATTGCCTATTGTTGTGACTTTTATGCCACCAAGAAGCAATCGATCTTTTCATTCTCCTTGTAGTTAGTCAGCAGCATAGAGAACTATTTTTGGGATCCGCCTTCCCCCGGGGAAACATAGAATTTCCCTACTGAATTTCATCAGAAGATGATGTGCTGCAGTCTCGCAAATATTTACCCAACCGGCGCTATCTTGTGACGGTGCCTAATCTAATAAGATACCTTCTGCCTCTGCCTCTATATCCAAGCGCCTGGGTATGGTGACTTTTTAAATTCCCAAAGAACAAAGTCCGAACTCATCAGACTGACGAATGGTCAGTCAATCCCCCAAAGGCACACTTTTACTTTTCCAGATAACTAATTAGATAAGTTCCCAGCTCTCAGCTTGATGGATTGCACACGCAAATGCTCTGATAGCCTCAATTATTGTTTACAGAATCTGTCATTTTCTATGGCATTTTAATAATATTATTATTGGCGGCTAATTTTAAAAACAAAACCCAAAACTAAGCATTGCGTTTCGCATTTCTTTGTTTATACGCAGCACATTCTCTAGATAATGAATATTTAATCATGCGAATTTTTGGCTATCACCGCTGATAAGGTTTTTGACAGTGTATAAAACTCTAAAGTTACTGCTTAGGCTATGAATAATTTATTGCTAAAAACTGATAAACGCACATATCTGATTTATTAAATTGAATTAAATCAAAGCTATCAGTCTTGAAGAAACTTTCTGGAAAAAGATTACTTAATAAACGTAATCTAGGACTAAAAATATATACCTTTTCCATAAAGATTAGTCATAGGTTATATTTTTAGAGACGATTTAGAGGTAAGATTTTTCTTTTATTTATAATTGTGGTTTTGAGATTGAATAGATTGGTATAATTGTTTTTAATCTATAAAGAAAGCGATAGTAGCCTTACTTGTAGTCTGTGTATCGACCTTTAAAGACTCTTATATCTTGGTTTTCTTATCTATTCATATTTTCCAAACCATCTGCTTTTCATTACCTCAAATTATAAGCCCTTGAAATATCTTCATTATTTGAACTGCAGCACACTTTAATTGCATGATAAATAATTCCCAGAAGCCTCTTCTCCTGTTCTCCCTTAAAATACACATTTTGTTTGTCCATAATTCCCACACAACTCCCCAATTTCATCCCTGGCTTATGACTTTGAAGAAATACTCACGCTGACTGAGCTCGCGTTCGCTTGAGGACATCCCCGCCATTCCGGATGGAGTTCTTCTTGTGCATATTCTGTTGCTGCTGCTGGTGCTGCTGCTGCTGCATGATCACACTGGTGGCTCCGGCTCCCAGTCCCGTGCCCACTCCGCTGCCGGCAATGACCACCGCTCCGCCATGTCCATGATGATGGGCATGATGCCCGTGGCCGTGGAGCATGTGGTGGTGGTACTGACCCGTCGCCGTGACCTGCATGTAGTGACCAGCCTGGTGGAGGTGCTGTTGCTGCTGATGCTGGTGGTGGGCCTGCGCCTGTTGCTGATGGCACGTGGGATACTGTTGGATCTGGTAGACCATCTGTGGATGCTGTTGCGCAGGATAGTTGATGGCGGCGGAGGAGGAGCTGTGGGCGCCGGGCGCATAGTGATTCTGCAGGTAGACATAGCCACCGACACTGGCGCTATCCGTGCAACTGGAGGCGCTAGCGGAACCCGGCTGTTGCGCCCCGGCCAGCTCATATTGGGTAGAGCCACTTCTTTCGAGGCTCTTCTGGGGAAAGCTGCAATGGATAGAAACGACGGGAACTGATTAATCAATTGTTGTATACAAGGTTTATGGCAGTAGAGGGTGTTATTAAGGTGAAGTACTCTTTTCAATATTTCATTATCTAAATCGGAAATCGATATATGGCTGTTGAATTACCAGTGTTTATTGCCACATATTTCTGAGTAAACGTAATATTTCCTCTATAAATAACTTAAGAAAGCTTAAGTCTCTTTAAAGATAATAAACAAAATAAAATATATGATTTAAATTCTAGATTAATGGCTCTTTTGCAGGAATTTCAAGTTTCTATGTTCAAAACAAGCCCCATTTGTTGTTATTTATCAAAGACGTCCCACCGATAAGAGAACTTTCGTTTTCGGGGTCAGGCGACAACAATGGGTTCCTACCTTTCGCCAATTATAAAACCCGATATGCAAATGATCATGGTGGGGGCAATATCACAAAATGCTCAAGATTTATGCACTGAACGGGGTTGGTTGGTGTCTTCTGGCCCAGAAGTCGCACATAAGGCACAGTTATTGACCAAGAGGAATGGAAGAATCACAAGATCACAGGCCGCTGCTAGATCGTTAATTAATACGCGACTCGCGATCGCTTTACAACGATATTCAAATTAAATATTCGGACGTCAGAGGAAGCACTAAACAGAACCGAACCGTCGGCGGAAGACCTATAGAGCTGACACATTGAGGTGCTGCTATAAGGTATTATATGGTGGGAAGGTAACGTCCGATCCCGGCGATGTTCGCGTGTTAACTAAACCGAGCGCTGGCTCGGAAGACCGAGAGTGTAGGAAGAAGACCACTGAGCAGGCGCGTCGGCGTTTCTTCCCTTGGTATCTCCCTATCTCTCTTTATCTCCCTTCCTCTAAAACGTGTTTCGCATGGCTCATTTAATTCCTGTGAGTGCACTGAGAGAAAATGAAGGGGAGAACTATAAATCTCGAAACTGAGACATGAATAAAGTGTCAAAAGTTAACATAAAAGATTTTAAAAATAAGTTTCAGTATCAATAATCCGATTAAAATACTAGTTTTAACAAAACTTAATACAGAAGCTAATAATATTTTAGCAAATTATCATTGACATAGTATTTATTCTATATTTTACATTAATAAAATTATATAAAAATAAGTTCTGAACAGGCAAATATTCTTTAATAAGAAGCATAAAATATGGGCATTTCCATAATGTCGCACGCGACATTCGTACGCATTCAAATCAAAAAAAAAGTATGGTACATTTAATTTTTTTTATTTTTATAAATGTTAACTTATAGCTCTTGCCTAGGACTATAATTGGTGCAAATGTTGATTTTGAGTGTTTGCTCAATTTTAAGAAAATTAAAAAAAACTGAAGGATTCGCACGCGACAAAAACAGAAGTCACTTTCGCGGCGAGCTGTTTAAACACTGATTTCAACGAAACGGCAGGGACTATTTTAATGAAATAAATTTTAAAATATGATGAAATAATGTCACTTTCATATGCTTTCATTTACAAGCAGAAATATAGCGTAGTTTATTTTTTATTTAATTTTAATCATATTCGCACGCGACATGTCGCACGCGACATATTTTTCCATCATACTTTGCATGTAATTTTTACTATTATAAGTAAATTGGAAGAGCATATATCTATTTTATTTCGACATTTCGCATTCTTCTAGTGATATCAGTAAACAACAGTCAAAGCATAATGACTCGGTTTGGATGTAATTAACAAAAGAAAACAGGCCCATTTTTATGATGTTTTTCATCAAAATAATGAAAAATCGTGTTTGCGCAAATATGCATTCGAATATTTCGAAATTTGTTTTAGAATATGATAAAGCCCTTCAAATTTAATCAATTGGCCTTTTCCTAATGTTACTATGTTGGAAAAAAAACATTTTAGAGAAGTTTTAGTGTTTTGGCCGCGGTTGACCTTTCTGTGGAAATGCCCATATGTTGATATTTGTTATTGTTTTTATTCAAATTTTAAATTACTTAGTATTTTCTTCCAGTGCATACGCACACCTACATATAGCAATCCCACACAAAAGCGGGGATACACGAAATGCATCTGTTTTGTTTGGCCCTCGTCGGGTTACCCGAAAAAAAAGAACAATTGTGCTACCCCTACATGAAAGAAAAGCGGAAAAAAATATAGAAATCCTAAGCGTAAAAGGATCCATTATTGAAAGGAGACAGACACAGACAAAGGCAAAGAGAAACAAGGACAGGCAGAGCAGTCTGATCGGCCATATGTTGCATGGAAAGTGAAGGAAATGATTAGCCAACGATGACAAACTTATTGATCGGAGCGAAGCAAGGACCCTAGAGGACCCTATAAATATACCAACACTAACACACACAGGATGCATTGGCAGAGAAGCAACAATTGGGCAGATAATAAAGGAGATTTTGGCAGTGATATATCCAGGATGGAGCACTTTAGAGGGGATGCCTGCGTAGATTTTTCAGCAGATGAAGAAATAGTGCGGGAAACCTGGGAAAGTACCTTAATGTCTTTACTGAATCTATCAATATTTTTGTGATTCCTTAAAGTAAAAAGGTCTTTTTATGTTATAAAAAAATATATTTTGTTCAGATTTATAAAATTGTTTTGATTTCTAAAAGTTAAATACATTTTAATGTTATTCAAAAATATATTTTCTTGCGATTTTTAAGCTGATAACATTTTTTATGTAGGAAAATTAACCGTATCAGTTATAGTTCCTTCTTAAAATACTTTAAAACAATCTCCTGATAATTGATTTTCCATCGGCTTAAAGCCAAAATAGATTTAGCCTGAAATTATGATTCGACGTGCCAAGAAAGTCGTGCAATAATTCATTATCTACGTATGCAATTCGAATGGCTTCCAAATCCGAATCCTCTTGAAATCATTTGCCGCAGCGGGACACAGAGAGAGAGATCGGAGACCAGAAATTTCGAGGGCAGCTGCTTATTTGCACCTAGCAAAAACAGGATCAGCAGGATCCCGACGGCCGAAGGATAACGAAACACACAAATTGAAAGGGGCATCCTCGTCCATCTCTCTCCCTCTCTCGGCCAGTTTTCCATCTGCACCTGGCGCGGCTTTGTGTGGGCTTCTCTTATTATTATTTCTCTTCTCTGCTTTTGCTTTTTGTTTTGTGTGTTTCGAAAGGACAACAACACAAGGGCAGGTAGTTTTCGGGGCTGGTGAACTCGAAACTCGCCTGTTATTGTAGCCACTTCTCTCCGCATCCCTCTGATTTTTTTAGGGAGTCCTGAAAACATCTGCCACACGTCGCCCTAATTGTTTGCGTTGCACATGTTCAGCTGTTGGAGCTGCACTTCCAAGTCCAAGTCCCTCTGTTTGACCAAGTATCTGTTTATCCCAGTATCTAAGTATCCCGTGTCTCACAGCTCGTATCTTGTATCTCAACCGCTGTCGCTCGCGAGCCAAAAATGTGCCGTGTGGACTTCCTCCTCTACTGTTTTCGTATGCAACAAGTGTCCAGCGACGAAGACGACGTGACCCACTCGCCGCCGTAATTATTATTGATTTTACATTAGTTTCTTTATGTGCATTATGCGCAAAGGGGGGGCTTAACACTTATTATGGAGTGTGCCAGACTTTGGGGGTTGGGGTTGGGTTGGCCGGCAAAAGAAAAAAAGTGACTACAAAAAGACCGATTCCGATTGCATTTTCCCTTCCTATAGGGAAAAGCCCATTAGACAATTGAATTGTTTCTTCGTCGTGTTTCTCGGGCTGGCAAGCCGATCTGCGGATTCATAGGATTGGCCTCCAAACGCTCCTGCCTCACATCCGTGGTTGACTCCTTGCCCTGAATAAGGAAGCCCAGGGAAATGCAGGTGATCATCAGGAGCAGGCAGGCGTACACGGCCAGGAAGTAGTTCACATCCAGATCGGGATTTTCGGCAGTTTTAAGGTGGTGCAACATATTCGGGTCCATGTCTTTGATTTTTTTGTTGTTAATTACCCAAGGAATATTGGAATTATATTAAAATTTTGACTCTAATATTTAAACATAAAATTTGTTTGATGAGTAAGATGACATAAAGGTAAAGGAGAGTCTGACTTTTCGTAATATTATTCTGAACAATTTTAAATTGTTTTTTGTATTATTTATTATTCAGTGTATTTATTATGTAAAATAATTATGTCTGATCCATTATAAATTATTCGAATTAATTTCTTAATTTTAATTGTAAATTCTTTATTAAATGCTTAAATGTTTTTAATTTCTTAAAATATCCCAATTGTATCTACCTTACAGTAGATATTTTACGAAAGTTTTACATTTATATATTTAGCCCAAAAGTATGCCCTGAATGTTGTCATAAATATATACACATGAGTGATATTGAAATCCACTTGCATTCCACATTCCACACACCCCAGTAGACAAGTTTCAAACCCTGACTTTGCCTTTTCGAAGAATTTTATATTTTAAAAGCATAATTAAGGAAAATTATATTATTATTATACAAATATTCCATATAAAAATTATGAACTATTTTGTATACTTTAATATATATAAATATTCAACAAATTACCCTGATCGAATTTTTATAAAGAAAATCTTAAAACCCAAACTGATTTAATATTTATATTCCCACTCCGTAGTAAAGAAACACCAGTAGTTAAGTAAGCATCCAGCAATTCTTATTTACGTAGCACTCCGGATACCGCGAGTAAATAATTAAATAAATAAGTGGGTTTATCTCGGCCGATATTTGCTGGGCTGTGGGCCAAGAATAGTCAGACCATAAAGCAACGGCTGCAGAGCCCCAAGAACAATGTCGGGGCCCCCATAAAGATAACGGATAATAACAAATGGACGCGATAAGCATTTCACTTAGCCGAAAATTACGTTTGATTCGCATTATTTCAAGAATTTTAAGTACTTCAAATCAGACAGATAGGGTTTTCTATTGTGAATTCCTTGAGAGTTATTTAAAAATAAAATGAAATATATTTATCCCTGCCTAGTAACCTGACTTTACCCCTTTTTTTTTCCAGTGCAGCCACAGCTGAAGAGCTAATGGTGTCCAGGAATTCGAGTTGGAACTCCCAGTGAGTGTGTGGCGCTTACCTGACAGCCGTCACATGGTGCGAGGTGTGCGTCTGCGTCTCCTTGTGCCGCGTCGACAGACTGACCACCGTCACGTGCCGCGTGGCTGTGCGCACCACCCGGCGCACCCTGCTCCGTCCATCTCCGACAACTACCACAATGGGCGGTGGTCGCTTCTCGCTGTCGCTGCAATATTGCAGGAAGGACTCGCCCCCGCCCAAATCCGAGTGACTGGAGTGGAGGTGGCTGCGAGAGGAGGCGGCGGAGGAGGAGGAAAGGGGCGCCGGAACGGGCAGCTGCTGGCGACGGGATTTGTGATTGTCACAACGAGACATGATGGCTACGGCAGCTAATCCTCTTCTGGCTGCGAATCGGGGAATAAAGGAGGGACGACTCTTGCTTTCGCCCGCAAAATCATGCAATTTTCTTATTTTTTATTGCCCGGAACTTTTCCTTTGCTGGTTATAACATACACACTCGTTGATTATTCGCTTTGTTTTGTTGGTTTTGGTTACTACTTTCGTTTATTCATTTGCAAATTGATTTGTTTTGTTCGTCGTGTTTTGTCGGGGTTTCTTGATTGGGTTTATTAATTTATTTACGTGCGGCTTCGCATCATTCTTTGCCATTTTATCTTTGGTTTAGTTTTCGAATTTCATGGGTAGCGTCGCGCGTCTACATTCTTCTATATAATATATCTCTTTTTTCGGTTGTTCAGAGTCACAGAGCGTTGGAGGCTAAGATAAAGCATATTTGTGGTTCGATAAGTGCAATTTGTTCACCGTGACATTTACTTCGTTGTTCGCATATTGCGCATACGCCACGTTTACGACGGGTAATGCCCTTCAAAACGCTTTTTTTCATTACAAAATACCATTTAATGACTTCTAACCAGAGGTTTTTGCCAGACACTTTAAAAAGAGAGCAAGCTTCAGAATTTTGACTTAACTTTGCTCTACATTCGCTGATTATTAATTAAAACATTTATTTAACAAGGCTAACTAGCCTTTACTTGTTATTACCTAAATCAAAGCCATTTTTATTATATTTTTCATTTGAACTGATTCACCTTTCCACATGAATCACATGGCAAATAAGGACAGTTATGAAATTAATTCAGTTGACATATATGGCCTGTTGCGGAATTTAGTTTCATGTCGAAAAAGTTTAATTGGCAGCAATTCCAAATTCCAGTTCCATGCAAAAAACTGACTCAGCTATTTAAATGTTTTTAATGCCGCTTAAGTGTATCATTAGATACCCAAGCTTTTCTAAGTGCATCAATCATTCAGACGAGACAAGTTTTATATGTTTATTTGGTGGGCGTTGTCCATCAATTGTACAATGTTCTCGGGATAAAAATAACAATTGATCGTTTTTAAGATAGCAAATTCCAAGTGGAATCAGTAATATTGGAAGCTTAAAACAGTTTCAAGAGATCTTTGCTTTGAAGTAAGTGTTTTAGTGGCAGAGTTTTTATTAAGGAGCTATGTTTTCATAGGATAAGAAGGCTCAGACACTTCAGGGTTTTTATTCAGATTATCAATAGATTTGTTAAATTGTTAAGGCAAACCGCCTTGAATCGACTGCAAACTCAAACAACTTCTTGTTAATAACGATAAATACACTTATTTTAAATGTATTTAAGATTAAAAACACTATTTATCACTGATCAGAAGATAGTTTAATTTACTTCTTCATCATCTTAACGATCACTTCCCCTTTGATTTAGATAACTTAGTGGTTTTAAGTTTTAAAGATCGCCATATAGAGTATTGCCGTTCGAACATACCCTGCTACAACATGAACCCACTGGGTACTGAGTACCGAATGACACTTGCAAAAGCGTAATTGTTTTTGTTTATTAAGGCCTCAATGGGAGAGTCGACGACGTCGCCGTCGTCGCAGTTCGCAATCGCATTCAATCAGCTTTGCGGCTGTTCCGCTTTTTAGGTCAGCGTCGATCGGCGATCGCAAGTAAAAGTCGCAAGTTGTTAACTGCAGGCTAGAAAAAAGCGAAAAACCCATTGGGGAGAGAGTGGAAGTGTGGAAGCGTGCGAGACTGGCGAATAAACAATATTCAAATTGAATATGTGAGACACGCAGACATTGATTTGGCACCAAGTCGGCTATATATTGCAAGCCAAGATACGATCCGATCCGATCCGATGCGATCCAGACACCAGACCTCGAAAACGTGCCTTGGGAAAGTGTGATCTGGCAGTGGGCCCAGTGATATTTTATTTTTTTGTTCGGGAGCAACACTACCGATCGTGGGTGATCTGATTAGCTGATTAGTTTTATTTTTATTTTTTTTCACAACTACTGACCTGATCCACTTTGCACACAAAGGTTGGCCCCGCCAGCCGCGTGATCATAAATCATATGAAAATTTATGTGCGAAGTGCGTGAGAATTCGCAGTGGAAACAATAGAAAGAAAGGGAAATAAAACAGACTCACACATGAGCCAAGATCAAGATCTTCGGAGTCGCACAAATATATATAAAAGCATATAAATAAAAATATGCATGTATGGAAATCTTGACTAACAAACACAACCCACACACTTTCTTTACACAAATCGCTGTCGTAAAGTTCAAGAACCTTTTTCGAGAGCCTCGAAATCTCGAGAGCTTGAAAACGATCCAAGACATCTTTGTTACAATTGTGACAACACTTGCCACTGTCTCTGTTTCGGTTTCGTCATACATACACCCAGCGAAAATAAATAAATACACGCAAAAGATTACTTTGGAAATAAACAAAATATATATGAACCCAAAATAACTCCCTTTTTATTGCAATTATTGTAAGTCTTTAGAACTAATTATAACAACTATCTATTTATTTCAATTTATAGGCGTAGAATTTACCAAATATTTTAAGCTAAAAGCTTGTTCTAGAAAGATTCTAGATTAAACTAAATATCTTCTGCCAAATATCAAGGCAAGCTTTACACAAATTCGGTCCAAAAAAACCTTAGAACCACTTTTCTTATAATTAGCACTGTATATATATTTTTCTAGGTGTATCTAGGGTACCTTCTGTACCAGAACCAACTGAATCAAGTAAAAAGCTGTTCAAACAAACGAATTTCGCTGCGGCCGGGCGATAATCTCACGAGCGGGGCCCAGCCTTGGAACAAGTCATGGAATTATTGGCCAAAACAAGTCGCCTACTGCCAATAAACGCTTCAGGGGAGTTCTCAATCACAATCGCTTAGAATGCTGCCGGGGCCCACTCACAAATCGCAAACAGAAAAGTCAGGCTCTGCTCACAAAAAGAACAACTGAGCGCTAAAAGCTGAATATTTTCGTTATTTAGCAACTATTAGTGTTTGTTGCTATTCGAGTGGTTTTTTTAGCTGCTGCCGCTGTTGCCTGTGACTAGAACTGTTCCAACTTGTTTCTGTTGTCGTTTCTTTTCTATTTTTCTTTTTCGGTTTTGTTTTTTATTCTTGTTTTTGTTGTCGGCTTCTGAGAAACTTTTGTTTGTAATTGCAATTTTGTCGAACAAGTTTTTCGTTGTTTTAAAGTTTACAAGAAAACTTCAAACTAAGCTGGTTTGTGGTTTACTTTAAATTACAGTGGTGCTTAATTAGAGGACTGTGGATTTGGTTTTTGGGTTAATTTTAATTTGAAGTAACTAGATTTCAATTTGGTCATGGTGTTGCGGAAGTTTTGTAATCATACATATAATATTTATACTTCTAGTTGAAATTCTTCTGGCTTAAGCTTTGATTTTACGAAAGTTTGGTTATAATTTTGCTGCGTTAAAGACTCAGCAAAATATTTATATTCAAGAGCTTAATTATCTTTCTTATTACGAGCTATTGAGCCTAAAATTCTCAAGCAATATTTCAAACAGCTAAATAGACCTAGAATTAGCAAAAATTTTGTATAAATTTAACTTCAAATTAAGCTTTTTAAACCTCAAAATAATTTAACATTTGACATTTATTTCCCCTTAAAATATATTGTACTTTTAAGACAGCTATCATAAAGTCATGAGTTTGACTTTTGGCTCTAACAAAAGCATTTTTTTAAATTGACTTGTCACTTCATTTAAATAAAAGTATTTTATTTCGATTGAGTTGATTACTTAAGCAAAGGGGGTTCTAAGTACAAATTATAATAAAATGGTAAACCTTAAGTACAAATTCCACTTTTGTTTGAAAATGTTACCTATCAAATCGGATAAAAAAAACTGCCTTTTTTGTGTTTCTTTTTACAATCTCCTGTCTATTTAAGCTTATTGGCGCCATTAATTTTAATTGTATTCTGGAGTTAAGCTTGGAGAGCAACCACTGTTTATATAGTTAGCCCGAGCTGCATCCGCTCTGGAGCACGACAGCGAGACCGAGACTAGGGTTCCTATAGTAGCTGATATATAGAAGCTAGCTCTTATTTCTGTTGCTGCCGCTGCTGCAGATAGCAGAGCTGCCTTTGTTTTACAGGTGTTCCACTGCACGAGCAGCAAAAGCGGCAAAAGCAGCAGCAAATGCAGGTAAGAGCAGCAGAAGCTGGAACAAAAACAGCAGAAACGGCAGCCACAATCAGTTGCAAAGCTGTTTTTTCTTGCTTGTGTTGTATAATTATTTAATTTATAATTATTTGTTGTACGCTCTCTCGCTCTCGCAGAGGGGAGTTTGCTGCACAGAAAAAAAATGCATAAGCAAATGCGATAAATAAAAGTTGTATTTCTTGGAAATGCATTGTATTCTTAAAATATATATCAAAAATAAGAAAATAAATATGTACATTAGAAGACATATTTGAATAATATAACTGTATTTCAAAATATGTGTGTAAATTTTCTCAAACTGATCAATGATTCTATTGATTTTTTTCTGTCTGCAGTATTTTAGGTGAATGGGAAGTTGACGCGGGGCGGTGGGGCGGAAGAAGGTGTAGAAGAAGAGGAAGAGGGACAGGCAGACAGCCCGTGCTCAATGCTTTTTATTCACTTTCGTGTCATTAGTAACGGCGCACGTAACAAAAAGCACCAACAACACACAGGCGCACCACACACACTCCCTCTCTTGATGCACTCTTTCGAGCTCTCTCTCTCAATCGGTCTTCCTCTCTTTTAGCCATTTTCTCGGCGAGCGGAAGAGGAAGTGGAAACAGAGTGTGCAGCAAACGTCGAATGCGGCGACGCAGCGTAATTGGGTGGCAAGCGATTATACAAGCCTGGCCAAAAGGCAAAGGCAACAGCAAAAGTCTGCAACTGCAGCAGACAGCCAAAGTCAAAAAGACAAACTCAATATCAAAATCAAAAGCAAAATGATTGAAACGCACTGGAAAACGCATCAGAGAGAGGAGATGAAAGAGAAAGAGCTGAGATGAAAAGCACTCTCTGAAGAGCATCTTCAAGATTGACTTTATTTTTTTCGGATCAACGGCTTTCCAAGCTTTGTTTACCACTCTGAATCAGCTGATTAAGAAAATCAAGCACCAAAAACAGTTTAAAACGACACAAAAAGGTTAGTCACTCAAACAAAAATGTTTGTGGAATATTTTTATTTTTATTGAAAAAACGTGAGATAACTTATAGATTAAGGTTTAAAAAATTGGGTTTTTTAAAAGAATTTAAAAAGAAAGTTTTTGTGTATCTATAAAAAATAAGTCAAATTTACTTTTTTCAATAAATATATTTCAATATATTATAAAATATATTAAGATGTTAAATTCTTTTAATTATTAAAAAAAAACTTGGATGGATATTTTTTGATTTGCCGTTCAGATTACTCTTAAAATCTGGAACTAAATACGTAACCCGAAACTAATGTGGTTTCTGTTCTAGATTTTATGTAAGTCTCTTGCGAACTATAACATTAAAATGGGAAGACTACACACGTGTTTATTCCAACAAAGATTTCATACCGAGAAATTCAATCTCTGAAAAAATGATTATGTAAACATTGCTGGCAAAGTTCTCAAGTCTGAACCAAAATGAAGAAGAAATCCTCAAAAACGTTTCGTTTGTTGCATTTTAAGTGCCATTAAAAAGGTGATTCAAAAGTAAATTTGCAATGAATCAGCGATTTTGGCGGTCAATTCCTGATTGTGGAAGGTATGCCTTTTTGTTTTATTTTTTTCAGCATTTTTCAAAGGAATATGCCTCCAGGTTTCGACTTTGAAAATATAGTACACAGCACTTGCTGCGTATTCAATTACAAAATAATAGAAATTTCCAGTTGGATCCACACCACACTCGAAAATATACAAAAAAAAAAAAAACTCACACACACGATTTATGTTGTGTTGGATTTTTTGTATTTTTTTTTTATTTTTCGTGTGTTTGCCGAAACGTAACGGGGCAGTGGCCGTGGATCCCGCTCTTTCTACCGATCCCGCTGCTCCACCTCCCTTCCTCCCACTGTTTCTTTCTCTTTCGCACCCGCTGCTGTTGTAAGCAGTGAACTCTTGGTACAGTGTACTGTGGAATATGAAATGCTTGCTTTAGTTGTTGATTAAAATGATTCAATGGAAGGAGCAGCCAAGATATGGGGTTTGCATCCCTGTCGTAAACGTGGCGTTCTTGTAAAATTAAAATAGATATACAGTAGGATGGAGTTCTTTCTTTTTTCAAGAACTAACAACTGTGCAGTTTATAAAAGTTAATAAAGTATGAAGAAACAAAACTAATTGTTTGTACAAATTATTAAAAAGATCTGTGACTAGACATCGCGTAATCATTAATATTTATTTGGTGAATTACTAAGGGATTTCAGTCTTAGTTGGGGTACAAGACAGTTTGAAGGTCTTCGTTTCGAATATATATTCTTTTCTGAATGAAATATATAGCACAGTGTTCAGTTTCTGGCTAGTGTTCACTGTATCTAGTTGTTTTTGTTGCTGTTGGCGGCGGCACTATTGTTTTTGTGATACTCGACTCTGGAGAAAGGCGATTTTCTCTTTAATTATATTTTATTTTATACATCAAATATTGTTGTTGTTGGTTTGTTTTGCTTTTTGTTTCATGGTTTCCGTTTTGCTTTATTCGGCTGTGTTTGGTGTTATTGCTTTGTGTATTTCTGTGCGTTTTTTTGATTACTTTTATTGTGGCATGGGGACACACAACGATGTCAAATTAATAAACAAACTCGCCTTGACAACAAATTTGCAACAGAAACAACAACAAAGTGCGTATAGGGAATTTTCGCAATATTATATTCATTTTTTTCCTCCTTTCATTTAGCACTCACAAACATGCACTAACACACACTCACTTTTATTTTGTTTGCACATCTATTTGCATTGAATTTATTAAAAATTCAATTTTGAAATCGAAACTTTTTCAGCTTTTCGTTCATTAATTGAACAATATATGCGTTGAAACAATAACAATAAAAACACACACACGATCAGCGACTGCGCCGCGAGCTGCGCTGCAGACGGCGACGGCGTTCGGCGACAGCGAAAGGTGTAACGACGAGCGACTAAGCGAAGAGCGTGTGCTGCCTCCGAAGCTTTGAAAAAGACTGCGAGAGGCAGAGGCACAAAACGGTATCCGGAGCTTGGTTGGGAGAAAAAAGAGCGCGCGAGTGCGAGTGCAGCTGTATGGGTGGAGAGGAGGTGTTGTTGTGACTCTTGTTGTTGTTGGTGTTCATTGTTGTTATTGCCAATAGCCAAGTTTGTGGGCCACTTAGAAAAAGCTAATATTGTTGCCATTATTATTACCAAAGGTACTAAGCTGGTATTTTCCACTTGATCGGTTTTTGCAAAATTTAAGCAAAAAGAAATTAGATAATCCGAAAAAAGATTGGGGAAAAAAGGTTTGGCGTTAAGGTTGTTTTTTTATTCTACCTAAATATATATAATATACTGACATTATTTACTTTATTCACTTATAATATTAACAGTTGAATATTTGTTTGAATTTAAAAATTAGTTTAAAGCCTTTTGTGTTTTTTTATAAAAGTGTACTGGTACAATAAATATTATAAATATATAATAATTAAAATGAGATATATATTTTTATATGATAAATATTGAATATATTATTTTAGCCCTTACTTACAAAAACTGTACTTCGAGAACTTTTTTTTTTACTTCCTGTAACTACAAAACCTTAACAAAAAATATACATATATTTAAATGAATAATAACGAAAATTAGACAATGGGAAACTACAAAATTCACTTTTTTTTAACCCCCAATGGCACTCACACACCTGTGCATTTTACCTGCACATTAAATCTGGCTCTCTCGCACACAGGTGAAGCGTCATAAGCGTTGACGTGTGCTGTCACAGTGGGCCTAATTGACATTATATAAGCCATTATTAAAGTGCAGCCGCCACTAGAAAGTAAACCTCTCAATTATATCCACATTATTTGCATTTTTAAACGAGCGAAAACGAACTCAATTCAAATTGAGGAGCTGAAAAGTTGAAAAGTTTCCAGAGATCTTCGCGCTGCACTGTGTTTTTCCCACTTCTCAGCTCCATTGTCCGATTGGGTAATTGCAAAACAGATCCGAAAACACTATACGCACACACATAAATCGACAAGCAGTCGTAAAGAGGTGTAAATTTGTATGCAAACGACACGAAAAACACTCTCCCAAGACAGTCTTCAAATTGGTGTATGGAATAAGAGCGAAGAGAGCATAGCTTTTAGCTCTCGGAGAGCGAAAAACAGCTGGTGCATTATTACAAGAGCGAAGATTTAAAAGATTGTAGATTTGATACCCTTTAAAAGCGATTTGAGTAAAAATGTATTATATAATACAGATAAGATCAAGCTAACCATCCAAACCTTTCTGTTCTTAAGGACGCAAGAACAGGTTGCGAATTATAAATAGTATTTTAAATATTAAAAAGTTGGCAGCTCTCAATTTTATACACAAAAATTTAGACAATTAAAAAGGCAAAGCTGAATCAATTTTAAATGTATAACATGTTTTAAACTTATGGTTACGTACTTAAGAACCTTTAATTTTAACCCCTGAGGCCAGGACACACCTTTTTCTGAATAATTAAATAACCTTTGGTCAAAGAGTTTCTATTTCTTTAATTTCTAAAGTACGTAGTCTTCGTATTATAAAAATACGAACTTAACCGATTATTAAACAGATGCTTATCTGATGTAGAAGGTAGTTAGTGTCTCTTAAAATTGAACCCCTGATCGCATGTGTGAAATGAAATTTAATACCTTAAAGTCTCAAAAAATGCAACCCCCTTGCGTTGCACAATTAGGGCCAAGAATATAGTACCCTACACAGAGAGGGTATATCGATTGTGACTGCGCTCAGAGTCGAACAATAAGCTGAGCTTACGTTACGCTCAGGTGAGTCACGAACCGAGCGAACCGCACCAAGCTGAAGGGCGAGCGGGGGCGCTTTACTGCCGATGTTTTTTATTGACGTCCATGTGCTATAAGCCATATGGACATGGAGATGGAGACAGAGAGGGAGAGGCATGTGTGCATGGCGGTTACTTGGTAGTTGTACGTGCGCTGGTAGTTGGCGGTTGGTTGTTGGTAGTTAGTCGCTTGCGGCGGCCCGCTAACAAAATGGGCAGCGTAATGCCTCACTGGCTTCGGCTTCGCCTCAGTCCGCTCAGCGGCTGAGCGGCTGAGCCAAGCTGAGCGTTAAGCCCGATGACTGTGTTGTGTGTGCTGAATGATGTGTGGAGTGTATGATGTGTATGATTGTCTCACGGTGTGTGTGAGTGTGTTTCAGACAACAAACCATTTATATCCGGACCTGCGGCCTGTTTTGACTTTTCATTGAAACCTGCTGCTGCACCGAAAACAATTTTGACTAAGACTTAATTGTCTTGTCAAATGATTATTTAAGTTAATGTCAACTTAACATAGATATTTAAAGTGTTTACCAATGCAGATTGAACCCACAAAAATGCATGATTAATAATCGTTTCTTGCTTCTTTAAACATTTGTGATTTATGATATATTAGGTATATTATTTCTTTCACTGCATGCTGCTGACGCTGTCATAGCAGCGGCATCGTTAAAACTCAAGTCGTAAACATATGCACACATAAAACCAAAACTTTTGCCCACTGCTCACTCCTCTGGCCGCTTCCTTCCTCTGCCTTCCTATGACTCCAAACCCAGCTGAGGCTGGCTGATATTAACGCATTAGGTACAAGGTACACAAACCCATTTGCCATACTTGTCTGGGCCGAGTCTCAGCTGTTATGAAACAATAAACAACCGTCAACGATGATGACAGCCCCCAAGAAACAACAAATCCCGCGGAGCGGCGAGGGTTGCCAAAGGGATTTTAATTAAGCCTCAGGTCTATCAGCGGGGGTAATTGTAATGGCTCCAAGTATACGAGCGGAGGAAAAGTGTTTAATTAAATTCTAATTTTCGTTGATTTGTGAGTCATCTGGTAAAGATACAAAGAAGCTTTTGTCAGGAGTTTTAAGCCAGAAAAAAAAACAGAAAAGAAGACGATATGACCTAGTAAAGAACAATACAGAACCTAGAACAAATAAAGGAATGAAGAACAATTTATTTTAAACAATAAAGTATATATTAAGCAAAACCAAACAATACAGAGACCAGATTAAAGGCCTAAAGAAGCTTGTTTTTTATTGTAAGTAACACTGAAGTATAAGGAAGTTCTATAAAACTTTTATATTCTTCATTTCTTAATATATGTTACTTTTCTTCGTTACCTTTCAATATCTCTATATTTTATTTCCAAACCCAACTGTTGAACCTCCCCACTGGCATATGAAACGCATTTTATATTTCATTAGTAAACATCGCGAAAGCTCTGTTGTGTGTAGTTACTAACTATGCGATTACCTCGTTTTCCCCCTCGAAAACCCCTCCTTATTTGCTCGCCTGACCTTAGGCATTTTGAACCCAATTTGTGAGCAGGCACAAAGGGCGGCGCCGGGGATGGTGGGAAAGAGAGGAGCCTATTCAAAATACAGCCAACCCAGCAGACCTTCGGGTCCGCCCCAAAACAGAAACCCAGCAAAACGATTGCGAGAGCTTATAGTTTTCTTCCCTTCCCCCCACTGAACGCCACCTAACCCCTATATAGCCGACCGATGACTACTTACCTTCAACTTGCCGCGGGGCCATTGAATCGCATCGCTCATTCGGTCATGGCTACACGGGTTACCTACTATACCTACTTTAGTATATATGTACATATATAGTATATATACTGCACATTGCCGGCTTTCGGGCTCATTAGAAAGTGAACGCTGGGAGACAAAATGCGAGACAATGCTACTAGTGCGCGAGTCTCGGGAGCGCGGCTAATGAAGCCTGACAGGGCCGATATCGGTCCGGGGATCGGATCACGACCATATCACGATTGAGATTCCCTCGACTCTGTCATTAGGGCTTTCCACTGCTCGCATTTTTTTTTTTTTTGTTCATGCACTTGGGGCATTATTAAAGGTCTTTTCTCGTTTCACTTTCACAGATTTTAATTCGAATTCGATTTAAAGACGTCGTCTTATATGGTCTATTTATGGAAGGATTTGCCTTTCGATAAGGTTATACAGTTCAAAAAAATATATAAAGTAACATATATCCTACAAGAGTGCTAATAATGTATCATAAGTATAAGAATTAAATACAAATTAAAGTAAAACTTCACCAGAATCTGTTTAATAAAATTGTAAACAATCTTACAAAAGTTTGATAAACATCAAACTACAATACAAGATCATAGAAACATAAAACCATCATAAGAATGATAACTTCTATAGGGTACCCAAAACTTCGTTGCCCGAATAGATCTTAATTTTTTTGTTTTTCATTCAATTAAATCAAAACTATAGCAGACGAAGATGAGCCAGTGACGGATGATGAGATACAAATGAAAATGTTGAAAGAAAACCTGAAAGAGAAACAACTGGGGAAGGGGTGCAAGATACAAAAGATACCAAAGATACAACAAAATTATGTTAGTGGGAAATTTTTGTGGTTTCATGAAGTACGAATGCGAGTGCGAGTACGAGTACGAGTACTCATTGGAATCGGAATCGCTGGGACTTCACTTTCACTTGCACTTCGCTGGCCATGAATGAAAGAAAGAAAAAAGCCCCAAACTCCCCCTTTCGCTGGGCTGCCCATTGGCTGAGCTTTTTTTGTTTTTGATTTTTTGTATATATATATATTTTTTTTTGAGCTGCCTCCATGCCGCCGCCACTGGCGCCTTCATCAATCAACGAGCGGCGGCCGAATCGCTCGCTGCTCAAGTGGCACAATGGGAAAGTTCGCCCACAAGGGTTCTGCAGCGCTCGTTAGGCTCTAAATCACGTATCACACGCCCACAAAACCAAAGCCACCAGCCTGCCATCACCCACTGTTCTACAGAGAGGAAAAATATTCGCAAAATGGGGAATTTGTCTAGCAATAATTACAAAAATTTACAAGTATTTTTAACTAAACGTAATTGAAACTTTTAACTTTCGTAGTATATATGAAAATATTGAAATTATATACGATTTTTTTATAACTTATGTATATAATTC